AATCGAGTCGGCGATTACTGCTTGCATCTTAACCCAAAGGATCAGATCCCTCAAACAAGCCAATTATAATATCTCAGCTTCCACTTAGATACACGACTGACACAAAAGTGACAATTGTCTGTTGACACTGCAAAATCATTCGAATACTATAGAGAAGTCGAACACGCCCAATGCCAGTCTTCTGAATTCATTGTTTGGATGTGGAAACTGATTATATCGATCATGATACCACTAGATTTGATATATATAGATATTTGTATGCATGTCCATATGTATTTCGCTTGTTTTATGTCGCTACATACAACCGTTATCTCAACAAATCTGACATACCTTGTGTACTCTGTGCAGTGGATATAAATATATATATATTTATTCCGTGTTATTTATATTTTTGGCCCATCTTATTGTTATTTTCATTTTATTTATTTATTATTTTAACTCGATGATTATGTATTTTATGCAGCTGTTGATATGGGATGAAGTGAAATATTTAACCGAGACAAAAATTTGCCATCCACGCAGATACATACTTTGTCAGACTGTCCGTTCCAATTTACTCAAGTTAATCGTATTGAGTAGCCACAAATGTGGTTGCTCCCATTTGGCAGCCAGATGTATTCGCCAATATAATTATGAACTAAAAATATATATACAATTATTATGTATGGGTAAATGTATAGTTAAGGAGTATAAGATCACAGTTAACTATGGCATAAAGGTGGTGATCTTCCTCTTTCTCTGCTACCACCGGCGGGTACTGCATGGAAAACTTTCAAGACCGGAGAATTCTTCTCCATTCGAAGCATATGACCTAGCTATCGCAGCCGCTGTCTCTTGAATATGTCGCAGTCTATGGCTTTGTATAGCTCATCGTTATATCGGCTGCGGTATTCGCCATTCCATAAACTGACCATAAGCCTTACGTACCTTTCTCTCGAAAACTCCTACTCAACAGGTGTTGTCATCGTCCGTACCTCCGTACCATATATTTAGCAGGACGGGAATGATGAGTGACTTGTAGAGTTTGGTATTTATTCGTCAGAAGAGGTATTTACTTTTCAAACTTACTTGCTCAAAGTTGCATCTATTAGCAAGAGGGAATATGTGTTGGATTTGAAGAGTTATGACTGCAAACGCGACGACTGTTTGTATGAAAACCGAAGATATTTCTTTTTTCTCTCGTTCACTACCAGATCCATAAGCTTCACTTTCTTATCTACTTTTGAGAAAGCAGAACTCACAGCGGAGTTGTTTAGGTCACAGTGCAAATTGCACAGTGTAAATTCCAATGATGAGTGCAAGTCTCAACAAATTCGCAGTAAAGATACGCACCCGCTTCTATGTGTCAAAGAACGCCCTTCAGCAACACAAGGAAGGTTTGGCGTATAAAAGCAACAATCACAATGGTCAGCCGAACAGTTTTCTACTCAACTTGCATACCTGCTTTCTGAGAACCCTCACTAGCAACTAGAGATAAGAGAGTTGGGGAACTGGATCTCAAACTCCCTACGTACCGCCGCTGCCAGTGTCCTATCGATGAAGATGGAAACTACGTCCCATTACCCACCTTCCAGGATTTCATCAGCGATTGCACGCTTAAATAATAATAGAGTGGCTGGAACCGATTGCTTACATGTTGAGCAATTTAAACATGGCGGTGAAAAGCTACATGCATCAACTTCTTTGCAGAATATAGTCGGATGAAAGACTATCTAACGATTCGAATTTCAGTGTGCTTTGCCCAATCCATAAAAATGCGACGCCACGGTCTGCGCCAATTGCTGTGGAATTAGCCTCCTGAGGCTAAATCGAGTGTATTATGTGAAACACCAAAGCCTACCTCAAGTAAAAAAACTGATTGGATCTTATCAATATTAACCATGCGATAAATCATGGATAAAACCCTTAAGTAAATGGATAAGTACACATCATCATTTCTTCATCGGTTTAAAAGCTTCCTTTTACAAAACATTGATTAGTTGCCTCTACGCCACTATGTCTGAATTAGGTATTCCTGCAAAACATATACGGCTCTGTAAACTTACGCTAAATAACATCAAAAGCGTAGTCAGAATTCGGAACCATACGAGATTTCAGACAGGGTGACTCTTTATCTTGCGATTTCTTCAATTCGGTGCTGGAGAAGAGCTGCAGAGGCAAAGAACAATCTTATACGAGTGTAAGATAACATTGATAGCATAGTCCTTATCAACCGTACTGTTAGTTCTACCTTCTCCAAGCTTGACAAAGAAGGGAAGTGAATGAGTCTGGTAATGAAAAAGACGAAAACAGTCGGCGCACTTACGGTTTGGCTCTCACCTTACTGATGGCAGCCATAACTTGAAGGCAATAGAAAATTTGTTCAATCTAGCGACCAGCATTAATTAACACCAATAGAAATGTTAGCCACGAAATGCAACGCATAATAACTCTTCCCAAAAGGTGCTACTTTGGACTGAGCAGACAATTGAAAAGTAAAGTCCTCTTTCGATGAACCAGAACTAAGCTCTAAAAGTCACTCAACATTCACGTCCTACTATATGGTGCAGAAACTTGGACGATGTCGACTTCCGATTAGGCGGCGGTGGGAGTTTTTGAGAGAACAGTTTAGCAAATGATTTATGGTCTTTCGCGCATTGGCTATGACGATTCCGCAGACGATGGAACGATGAGCTATACGAGCTATATGGTGACATTCACATAGTTCAGTGAATCGAGAAACAGCGGCTACTTCGTATTGCCCGTATAGATGAAAGCATTCCAGCTTTAAAAGTATCCGATGCAGTACCCGCTGGTGGAAGCAAAGGAAGTGGAAGACCTACCATTCCTTTGGAAGGATCAAGTGGAGATTGAAAGTGAGAGAGAATTGCCAAACTCCTATTTGATTCCCAGCCAGAAACACAAATCTAATGGAAATCAATTCCTTTCGGAACCGCCTCATGCAATCATGTTCACATTAAATTTAATCCCTTTTTACTTGAGAGGTCTACCGCCCGCCTACATCAGTGTTAGACAAAATTTTTTATAAAATTGCATACGTATCTAAGATAAATTATGTGAACACACTTAGAATTTAATTCGAGTACACATATATTTATAATTAAAACTATAAACTTTTTATTCTGTTTCACATTTCATTTACGACAGAAGCCAAGTGAATAAAATCTCTGTGTCTATGTTGAAAAGAGAATGCTCACTTAATTGTACATAGAAGGGTGATTTTAATAAGGGTTTTTAACTTTGTAGAACTAACAAGCGATGGGAACAGTATAAAATAATCAAGATATATCTCCCTTCCGCTTTTTGCTCTTCATTCAATGCTTTATAAAAAGTGTTACAGTGATCGGATTTAGTTAAAATATGCGCCGTTTTGTTCGATGATCTGTTTCCATCTAGACGGCAACTTCATAATACCTTCCTCGTAGAAGCCCCCCTCCTTATTTGCGAAGAATTCGGACAGCCACTTTTCACAAGCCTCTTTTGAGTTCAACTTCACACCACCAAGGGTATTCACCATGGACAGGAACAGGTGGTAATCAATTGGCGCTACGTCCGGGCTATATGGTGGATGCGATAAAACCTCCCATAATAATTAAAATATATATATATATATACAGTAGTCGAGTGCTAAATTTTGCGTTCTAATATGCGAAAGGGCATGAATCATTCGTCCAATGGTCGAACCAAAATCCAAACCTATATGAATGCACGCCCATCCGAATGTACTCCTAACACGAAATATGATCTCCTCATAAAAGTCCATCAACCGTTCGGAGGCCAAAAACATTAAGTTGCGGACCAGAAATAAGAATACATATGCTCCAAGCTAGATTTTATAACTCAAAACATTCAAAACATTAACCGATCGAATTCAGAAAGAGAATGGAGATTTTTTGCAAATTAACGACCGGTTTTTAAGCTCACAACGATATTCACCATGCCCGTTCAAATGAAAGAAATTATATATCCTCTAGCACCTCATTTTCTGTGTATATAATGTTTGGTTCCATGCGTATCTAGCTTTGGGATTTCCTTTGCCTTATCCACTTTACATACACATATTATATTTTATTCAAGAGCGGGGTAATCATAAAATAAATAAATATCTCAGCGCCCACTATTTAGTATGGCATTGACCGACCATCTGATGCTACCGAGAGTAATTAACCTATTTAATACATTATAATACGCCATCGTCTGTACGGAACCATTATTGTACAGAACACACTGAACAACTTTTTTATATGAATGCAGTTTTTCGTGTTTAGTATTTATGAGGATCTCAAACACCTTTAATCGACATGCCTCTGGATATCAATTTTAAATTCATTCAGTGATCTGTTATGCCTCTTCAAGAAAACCGTATTAGTCACTATAAATTAAGTACTACAAAAGTTTTTTTTTTGTCTAATATTTTAGTGTAATTGGAGCACCGATTTTCCGTTTTTTTGGTTTTCCATTTTGAAGAAAAATAATTACTGAATGAGATAGTTTGTTACCAAATATTTTGAGCGGACGCAGCAGGAGGAGGACTGCTTGATTTCCCAGTGATAAATATTACTTTATTGAGAATTGGTGTTTCAAGTTCAAAAAGTTTCATATCGAAGACACTGGGCAGCACTGGTTGTCTGCTGATTACAATACTTTATTTTCGGTGGACAGGGCATATCAAATACACACCCAACAACAATATGTACATCTCTTTGCTATTATATTATGAGGAGTAAGGCATTTCAACTTTTTTTGAATCGTTTTCAAGAAATGTGCCCAAAATGTGATGTGATTGAGTTTAAACAAATAACAGAAAACTCGTAAACATATGTATGTCAATTGGTCAAATGATCACACACCCACTGAAAGCAAAAAATAGAGAGGGAGAGTGGAAACCAATGAGAGATATTCGCCTACTGAGAATTATCGAATTTTTCAATGTACGAGTATCTTATTTACAAAACGAAAAACGAAATCATTATTTCTTTCATATATTCAAGGGCAATGTATTAGATGCTCGCCGTTTTCTTTTCATGAAAAACTGAAAATCTGTCGATGTGCGATGCTCGATGCTCGATCGCGAAAAGCGGACTACGCATAAAATTTCGTAAATTCGTATTTGGAAACAGACAGTCGCAAAAGAAAAACAATCGTTCGCGCTAAAAAGTCGCAAGATAACAAAAGGTGTAATGCTTTTAAAAGGATTGTCAAAATAACAAAGTGCTAAAAAACTGTAAGGAGATTGGCATTAAAATTGTACAATCACAAGTATTAGAAATAGTTTTAGTTGAAAAAATAGCAATTAAAAATTATTACAAAAATTGGACTAAATATTATAATCAAAAAAATTTAAATTTAATAGCATCACCGTTTAAATATCCAAACATCTCAAAAATCTGTGAAGTTATTTATAAAAAAAAATATCTATATATTTTTGATGTGAGTGAAATCTTGGCAATGCTTTGTAAATTCTGAAGGCAGCAGTTCAAGTTCAAATCGAAAACCAAAAATCTAGCAACAACACCCCTCCGTATTTACATCGAATATACTTATACATATGAGTACATAATATATGTGTGTACGAGTGTGTATTCACAATTTTTATTTGCCAAAATCTGTTCATCTATTTCATTTCAAGCGATTCGAAATTCGTCAATTATAATTCGGTTAAGGTCATACTAAACTACATACATATATAATATATATAATATATATATATACCACATCCTATAATAATCTTTAACGTTGTAAAAGTGAAAATGAATTAGTGTGCGTGCAATGCTGCGTCTACACTTCACACACTTCACACATACTCAATTACTAAAGGTGTTGAAAAGAATAAATTAATTTCGCGTTTATTACATTAATTAAATTAAAAGAATAAACCTAATATGTTCATATCAACAGAAGTACATACATATATGTGTATATACAGTGTAATGTAATCGGACCGTTGTGGGCGACAATTAACTACGAATTAACGGTGTCTTTTTTATTGAATTTTTTGTTATTGGTTTTCTTATATTATATTATATATTCTTCAACAAGTGTGGAGTGTGCAAAATGCATGCAATGAACAAAAAAGCAAAACAAAATATAATTTATTAATAATGCTTAATGAAAAGGCATAAATACACACAAGTATACATACATATATTTATATGTATATATTGTGATGCCAAATAGGAATAAGCCAAATATAAACGTTTGCAGCAGTATCTGCTTGTCCTCATGTAAAAAATTGATACATATTTACTACCTACGTGTATTTCTATATAATTATATGTATATAATGCATATATGTATGGATGTGTGTATGCACATGGGTACTGTGCATATAACGTGTTAAAAATAAAAATTTTATATCTTTAGAAAACACCAACACAAATTCGCAAACAAAAAACAAAAAAAGTAATTCGAAAATTTAAGAATATAAGTAATTTTAAGCTAAATTAAATACTCAAAGGAATTAAGAAAAATCTCTCAACCGAAGAGTGTCAAATATACGAAGACAAAATAAAATTTAAAAACAAAGACGTATAAATATGTCGTCGCCCAGAAATTCAATAAAGAAGAAGAGCGCATCAACAGCGACAAAGACGACAACAGAAAAACCGCTAACAAAGCAACCACCACCTGCTCCAGGGAGTAGATATACAAAGACTAAAGAACGAATTGTTGATGGTAAGTTTTCACAAGATAAAATTATATGTACTCGTACATATGTAATATAAGTTATAAGTGTCTCATTTATTAAATAATTTACTCTTATTTACATATGTAATCTTGGCTTTAACAAAACCAAACAAAAAATATAATTTATTTATCTTTTCGCATTTATTATTTAAATTTAACGAACGCATGATCAAGGTGCTGTCAGTGATAAGAGGGTTTGGCTAATTTATGTTAGATTATTTAAGAATATTTCCACACGGAAACAAATATACAAATATATGATACCAAAGACTTTGCCCGCATTGAATTTGAAAATGCATTTAATAAGTTTGAAGTTGGATGTTTAAAGTATTTAATTTATGATTTTTTTTAATACTTATAAAATCTAACAGATTTTATTATCAGGTGTGATAAGCAAATTCACCTCGTTTTATATTATATATTATTTAACTTCATTGAAATTCGTTGCAACTTAGAAGTAAAATATTTATAAAGATTTCAACTTTAAAGGTTGTTAAAGAAAATACGTAAAATTTTTTTGAATTAGCTTTTGGCGCTGCTATTTTTTGAAGTTTAAAAGAGAGAAATCGAATGGTTACTCCAGTTTTTGTTAATACCATACATATATATATATATATATATATATATATATATGTACATATATCTGAATTTTTAGCTCATTCTTTGAGTACTTGTTTTTCGCTCAGCAGTTACAGGTGCACCTGCGTATACCTTGTTATGGATTTTCACATTTACTTATAGTTTTTTTTATGTTAAACTGATAAGACAATTTTTAGGCCAACAGATGAAATATTGGCACTAAAAAATTACTTTTGCTTTGTTTTTTTTTTTGATGGAGCTATCGATCACTCTTTTACTGATTACACCATTCGCTTAAGTAAACATGAAAAAAAAATTAAAATTTGATAAATTTTTATGAAAACGGAGTTCCACAGCGATCATAGTATCTCTTTTGTGGGCGATATTTTTTGTTTGTCCGTGGGTTGCTAGACTCACTAGGCTACTCTATAAGCTTACTCAGGAGCATGCTACATAGAACTGACTATTGGAGAACCTGCTTTCTCTCAATTCTACCCCTGCTGCCTTAAGAGTATGACATTGATCTCTGTTTATGGTATGAAATCAACCTAGATTGCTTTCGATTCAATATTTTCCTCAGTAATCTGGTGCTATTGCACATTAATTAGATCGTTCCCAGATCCACTTACTGGAAAAAGTTTCTCTGAAGTTATTTTAGGACGTAATCTCTAAAGTGAACTATAAATAAAAATGTTTCGAATGGATCAGTACCAGGTTTATTATCCGGGAGAAAAAGTGTTGCACATGTCAGTTTCGATTTTTTTTCGAATAGATCGGTCTCACGACCACTTCCCGGAAAATCCTTACTTATCGCATACAAATGTTATAAGCAGAACATATACTCGATGTTTCAGGTGTCAAGGAATTGTGGAGTCGTATGACGTATGTACATATATACTCGTATGTATGTATAGAAAACTTTGGCCTGAGTGACTGATAGACTTGAAACTTCGAGTATTCAGGTACATATGTAGATAAAAGAAAGATTGAAGAGTTTTTTTTCAGATGTTACTAATACGCCGTGTATTACGACTCCTATTCTACAACTCTGCCATCGCCTTCAAAGTAGTCCTTCGGGCAGCTATGTAACGATTCCAGCGCGTTTTCCTAACTTCGACACGGCCGCCTGAATGTCCTCAATCGACTCAAAATAGGTTCCTTTGACCACCGATACGGCGATTCTTTTAGAAGCCAAATGGTGGGACACGCTGAGAGCAGTGTGGAAAGGCCCGTTGTCGTGATGAAGTATTCAGTTACGAGCGATATCTGGGGGCAACCTGTTGACTCGTTTTCGCAATCTTTCGAGTACTTGCCGATAGTAGACTTGTTTTGCGGTTCGCCCCGATAGAAGAAATTTTATGTGGATGATTCCACGGCTATCAAAAAAGGCAATAATTATCGATCTCACCTTCGACTTGCTCGGGCGAGCTTTTTTTAGGCGGGGGCGTGCGGAGACAAACAGTATGAGGTTTGGCACTATCACCATGCTTTCTTACAATTTTAGCGTACGTTTTCGCAGCTGTTTCACCCAATTTGGCGCAAAATTTTACCGCGACGCGTTGCTCTTGTCTTCGTTTTTCCATTTTCGTGACGAGCACTACGAACACACGCTTACTCAGCTCGACATAGCAGGCGAACTAAACAAGCTACAGCGATGGCAAATATATCAATGGAGAGGAGAAGAAAGCCGGGAGAAGGGAAAGGGAATTTCAAGTTCGGTTACCATAATCGCGGCAATATAATCAGTCTCATTACTTCATTGTCATTGGGATGGGACAAACAAAAAAAATTTATGGACAGGCATAAATCATAGGGTTTAAATACATAATATTAGTTAGTAAGAATAACTCAAGAATATTAAAAATTCTTTTTTACAGAACATTGCCGACTGTTTGAAGCGAAGCTGTCGCAAGAAGTAGACTGAGACATCTTGAAGTCATTCAGCGGGAGCAAAATCACATTAAATCAATCAATCCTACTAGGCTTGATTTGAGTGAGGAGTAGGGTTGTTAATAGTTTTGGCAAAGTTTTCAAAACTATTTGAAATACCGTACAATTAAATTTGGAATAAGCAGTATTTTCAAGAGCACAAAATATATTTGTAAAAAGCGATAAAGACTAATGTCTTAATAATATTGTTTTATTTAATTAAAATATTTTACAAAGTCCCTATAATTGAAAGTTTCGTTCAGACAAAGACTATTCATATGAAACCATTGCTTCTAAATGTCTCAACAGGAGTTCCTCAAGGTTTCTGTTATTTATAAATGATATATCGTGCGTAATATGGCATTTCAGTTTCTTGTTGTATGCCGACGTTATTAAACTTTTTATTTCATATACCTCATTCGATGAGAGACGTTTGTTCTGTGATAGCAATGACATGGTTTTGAACCTACACGTATATAATTGTTAGACCATGTGCTTTTCACGAAGATTTATTCAACCAAATCCAAAGATGGTCAAAAGAATTTAAAGATCCCTATGTAACTGAAGCACTTTATACGAGTTTGGTGAGGCCAATATTAGAATATGGTTCACTGATATGGAACGCCAGTTACAAAGTTCATTCCGGTGAGTAAGAGTCTGTTAAATACAAGTATTAAGTTTTTGCTTTAAGGCATTTCTGATGGCACTCTACGATGAATCTTCTCTCCTACACGAACCGTTTAAAGTTTCAAAATCGACCTACTCTTGCAAGTCGGAGAGAAAGTCAGAGAGAAATTTTAGGCGCACTGTTCGTAGTGAAACTTCTTAACGGATCAATTTGTGGTTAATGGCTATTGTCTGAGGTAAACTTTAATGTTTCAACTCGTGTATCAAGGTACTTTAGGCCTTTACTAGTAAAGTCATGTTAAACAAATTATAAATTGAATGAACCTTTTCGCCTTTTTATTTTCCATTTCAGCACCTTCGATCTCTCAGATTGTTGAATAATTTTTTTTTCTGAAGCTGTACAGTTTTAGATCTCGACGCTTATCAAACGCTTCCTAATTATGACTCGGCATATTCCGTACGTTAAACGGTTGTCGCCTCTCGTGCATATTTTGGGCTTATTATTATTAAAGAAACAGCGGGAATGATTTTTCTCAATTTTATCTTTCGCACGGCACACGAGTGAATGAACTGTGCATACGTCAGTGGATGCTGGGACCATTAGTATGGTATATGTAGATTAGTGTTGCGCTGTTGGTGTAAATGAACCACATGAGATTTTAGCGGGAGGGGTTGGGGTCTCATCCGTATTTTTGAATGAATCATGACATGAGTACTATCNAAAAAAAAAAAAAAAAAAAAAAAAAAAAAAAAAAAAAAAAGCAAATTGCCGAGAGTCAGTGACAGCAAACAACAACAATACGTATGTACATGTACAAGTAGCTCATATTCTTGAAAATAATCGTACAAATATATGTATATATGTATGTACATTTAAATATGCGTAAATCTGCCGCACAAAAATAGAATAATGAAAACAAAAACAAATGGTAATTCTTTGTATTTACTTATTTTGTTATTATTAAGTATTTGGACGTTTGTTTGGCGCAATTCTATTGTTTACATTTAATAATAATAATGCCAATGCAACCGGCTTGTTCTTCAAAAAAAAAAAAAAAAAAGTAACTAAAATAAAAATAAAATAAAATGAAATAAAATAAAATAAAATAAAATAAAGAAGAAAACAAAAAACATTTTCTTGCCATATGTTTTCAGAAACACAAATACATACGTACACATTTGTTAAATGAATATTTATCTGTAAAATCTAGTTTTCCGCTTTGTCGACTTTTTGAAATTCTCATTGTTGCTATTTAGCATCAATTCTGATAATTAAATTGCTTGCGAAGAAGCGTTAAATATTCTTGGCTCGAAGAATATGCACTTGTGCATATTTGACGGTCAAATAAATGCAAATTATTAAATATATACATAGATCTTGTATATAGCCATAGCTAATTTACATTGTTTTGGTTTAGGCTATTTAAAAAAATATGTATGTATGTATGTATGTATATATTTTAATTTTCTTTTTAAAATTACTATTTGTAGTTTGCTTTGAGGTGACCGAATGTTATACGGATGTACGCCATTTTTTTATGACAAAACTGTCACTTCTGTATGACAAGTGGTTGATGATTTTTAAACAAATTATGTCTCGCATTTTAAATTTGTTGGAGACTTCTGTGTGTATTCCTGCCAACACTAACATATGAATATGCATTCATTTTCACATACATATACATAAATATAAATTGTGTTGATATATTCCAAATATATTTATACAGGAAAACTAATATTTATATTATGTACATAGAAATGTGAAGTGCTGTACATGTGTCAAGTCTATCAGAATAAAAGCTACGAAGATACAGCCTTAGGAAGATGGTTTATGTTTTTACAGCCAGTTCCCC